ATCCCACAACAGCAGCAAATTATTATAGCAAAAATTAATCATAGTATCTGATATTTTATATTCAACAAAATAAAATATCTAATCATAAGCAAAGAATTAATGTCCGTCTAATTTCGGAGTTCAGTAGCTGAGACTTTGTACATATAAATAACTCAACTAGACTAGTTTTCATTAAAAAAATCAGAAGTTTTGAATCAAGTCTTTTCGAGATATGCGTCTATCAAGATATAGACTCTTTTCCATGAATGGGATATACGACATGCACTATTTTTTCAAAGTATCAGATCTTAAAAAGTAATGAAACTTCGTACAAAGAAGTTCAACAATAAATAAATTACGGTGCAAGAATTATTACGTTGATGTCCTTTTTTTTTATTTCGAATAAAAACTAAAATAAAATTCAGTTCGTTTTAATAAATTACATCACATGAATAGTTTTATCATCAAGCGTTGATTATGTTTTATTAAAAGGACATTTTGATGATGAAAGATATTTTTTCGGAGGATCACTTCTCAAGGACGTCTTTTAAACAATTACCCTTGAAGATACCTTGTTCAAAAAATTTGGGGCTTCTAGAAGAAAAAACTCTCGATAACTTAGTCAAATTTTAATAACTTATCATTGAAACAATTTTAAACTATTAAAACGAACTGAATACAATGTTACTTCACTCTTTTTTTTTTTTGTAAAAATAAAAATCAACACTGAAATTGATCTTCTTTATATTATCACACAGTTGAAAACTATAATCTTCTATATTTGAGGTTTGTTTTTCATTCTCTATATATACAAAGAATTCATTGAAAATTATTTACTTGGAATTATTCTAGTAAATGAAAAAAATATTATAAATACTCATAAAAATACATCAACACTAATTTATTTAATTCAAATAAAAATTGCTCGCTCAATTTACAAGAAAATAAAATTTTATATTAATGTCAATCGAACATCATTTTCATCTGTTTCTGGAATTTTAATTGATACTGAAAGATTCTTCATTTTTGATTGTTGTTCTTTTTCTTGACTAGTATTATCAATTGAATTTTGTAATATTGAATCTAAATGACGTCTTAATAATGGTATTAATTGACCAGTTCGTTTTAAACGCATAGCTAATGCATGTCGTGTACTTCGATGAAACCAAATATGAACACCAACTAAACTATTCATATATTGATTATTAATATCAAAATCTAAAACAGATGTTAAACAATGTATTTGTTTAGGTTTTTTTTCTTTTTCATGATCAATTATTCGCTGAGCTTGTCGTCGATCAGCTGCTGATAATTGACTCCAATGTATATGAAGTGTACAATTATGATTTAATGTTTTTCTATCGATTTTTTCCATATTAATTCGTATTTGTTCACGTATAACTTGTGCTTGTCCTGATGGACAATATGCACCCATTATACGCCATGGTAAACCAAGTAATGTTGGATCTAATATTGGATTAAATGCAATTGATATTGTAGCTAAATCAGCACACATACAAACCATACTACCACCAAGACTAGCACCAATTAAAATAACATGTTGATATAATGTTGAATAAATTTGTACTAAATTTCGATAATATGTTAAACCTTGCCATTGATAATTTGGATCTTGTAAATAAAAACATTGTGCTGGATCAGTTAAAAATAATACATCAAATTGATTGTTTGTATTATCATGTAATTGACTTATAGAACCACGCCATTCTGTTGTTCGTACACCTCCAACAATCATAGCAGCACCAGCAAAACTCATATATAATGTTGGTGAACGATGTGTACATGATAAATTTGGTTCAATATGTGATGATGAATGTTTTGTATGACATTGACAAGTTTTATTTGCTGGACAATATGTTTGTCGTCGTTGTTCAAGGTGATTAAAACGTATACGTGTAAAAGCAGAAAATTTCGATAAAAAATATCCATGACCACGATGTCGTTTTATAAAAACATATAATAAAATAAGAATTAATATGATCGAAAATGGTATTGAACTATATAACCACCATTGCCAATGATCCATTCCTTTTTTTAAAGAAGAAAGCTATCTCTAATACCGAGAAAAACGTGATGAAACTCAAGGCGATTTACATGCAGTGATGCATATTCATACAGGTGTATATGTAAGTATAGTATTATATACCTTTTTCAATTACATTCTTATACAGCAAACGAGCGACGAGTGCACAAGATGAATACATACATATTGGTGCATCAATATGAACTTTGACATTTGTCGATGATTGGTTATCTATTTTTTACTGTATAGAAAATAATTTTGAAGGTTCTATGGGGACAGATAAAGTGCTTGTCATGATGTGTCATTGAGTAGATGCGGAGATATGTATTATTTAATCGATTTTTCAAAAGCAACTGAACATTATCATGAAAATATCATCCTATACACTGTCTGAAGGTGAATCAATTGGCTAATATTTGTTGATGGATTTTACAATGCTTAAAACCATCAATGCCTCGTTTTCAAAAAAAAAAAGCAAAGCATAATTTTGACTGACTAGACGAATGATTAGGCACGATCGTATGTACATATGACGTATTTAGAGCACCTGGTAATAGTAATCATTTGAATTGCTTTTTACATTGAAGTAAAGAAGTTTATGACCGACGTCATTAAGTAGTCATTGGCGATTAATAATGAATCTATTTTGATAATTTTGTAAATTATTGCTAAATAGTTCACACTTGAATGCTTCTCTGCAGTACTTTAGTGGGATAAAAAAAAAAAAACATTCTTTTTCTCATTTTTATTTCATTTTCGTTTGCTAGGGTGAAATCGCAAGCAACTTTTTTGAGCTATTTCATATAATCATTGATAGATTTTGTTGATGATTATTCAACAATATAATGTTGACCCTTTAAAAAAATCGTTATATCATGCTACAAGATGATAAATGTGGTCACATTAAATAAGTTCCTGAAAACAAAAACTGACACATTATTACAAACTTTGCTTGTGTCATTTTTCTATCCTAAAATAAACTTTTAATAGCTGATAGTCGAAAAGCAGTGAAATAATCTTTGAAAAGCCTAAAAATTAGTTTGAGGGGAAATTTTTTTTATTTTCACTATTGTGATTCAAAATTAAGAATTACGATCTTTATTTATATATCAAAGTATAGATGATAAGCTGCCCTACAAGATGCACTATTCGAAGTTCTTTTTGTGTTGTGATAAGACACCTTAATTTTCATTTTTCCTCAACATTCATTCTTGAAAAACCGGCAACTATTTTAAATTTAAAGGCGCTCTTAAAACAATTCTTCGATGAAAGTCACAACTAAGTTCAATACGATATTCTGTAGAGAAATTTTCTCTCTACAAGACGACTGACTTCAATAATTGTTAGCATTTTTGAAAAAAGGACTTACAGAGTATTTTTAAGCAAAATAGGAATCCTTTGAAAAACAATCATATTTTAATACTTTATCAAAAGATAGAATTAAAAAAAAATAGAAGTCTCCAATCAGTCATATTAACAAGCATTTGTCCTTTAAATTTCAAATGAATTGATTTTCCATAATGTAATATCTAAAATTCAGATTTTAATTTTCACTTTTTTTTTCAGAAATCTTCATACCATCTAAATCATTCATTGTACAAATAGTTCAAACAACCTTCCGTACATTTCGTTTATGTCATTTTTAATAAAATATTATGTTGATTTTGAAGTCCGATAATATCCAATTGTTCTCTTTGAAAAAATAATTGTGTTGCGTACTTAAATAGCATACACTTGAAATACATTATTAAAAACTTCTTAACCCAGGCTGAACCAAAACACTTCGACTACAGTGGGCGTCATAAGTTTCGCCCCACTTTTGTATTTTGAGTCGTCCATTTGAACTAAACAACGTTGATTTAATTTGATTATATATTCTTGTAGCGGGGATCGAGCACTATCTGTATACACCTGTTCCATACGGAAAACTCTCGGAATATAAAATAAAATAGGCAAAGCAATCTTCAGTCCTACGAAAAAAAATGATACA